GTAGATGTGTAGAAATTATCGTCTAATTAATTGTAAGAATAAGTTTGATTGACATTTGTGTCAATATTAAAAGAATTAATTGATGTAATAGAATTCTTTCAAGTATTTAATACTTTAGACTTGAGATTTGGTTATCACTCATTACTATTACTTATTAAAGATTGGATGAAGATAATATTTTGAAGAATTGATCAAGATAGCAAAGATCAATACTATCACTAAAAGTTCATTTTTTTGGCCTTAAGAATATATCAACTAAGTTTTAAAGAATGATGGATTGAAAATTGTCTAACTTGTCATTTGTTGGATGCTACATTAATGATATTATTATTTATTGTAGCAATCTATAAAATCATATGAAGCTTTTACAAGATCATATTTAAGCAATTATAACAATAAAGATTATACTTGCATCATGACAAGTGTAAATTTTTTCACAAATAGTTAGCATATATAAATCACATTATTATCCTAAAAGGTCTTGAAGTACAACAAAAAAAGGTAGTCTATATAAAAAAATTTAGTACCAAATAATATTTCATAACTTTGGATTTTTCTTGGATTGGCAAATTACTATCAAAAATTTGTTAAGAACTTCAGCTTAATTGCCAAGCCTTTAATTATTCTCACTTGTAAGAATCAACCATAGACTTGGAGTTGTGAGCAACAATATGCATTTAATATGTTGAAGCAAAAGTTGGATTCAATTTTAATGCTTCAATGTTTGAATGCTATTAGACCTTTTCTATTACACACAAATCAAAGTACAATAAGACTATAAATAGTCTTAACACAAAAAGATGATATTACTTAGGAATATGTCATTGCATTTGCTTCTAAAAGCAATAAAAATTCATATTTCAATTACTCATCTTATAAAAGAGAATCTTTAGCAAGAATTTAGACACTTGCTCACTTTCAATTTTATTTATATGGATAATGATTTATATCAATGACTAACCATCAACCTTTAAAGTGACTTATGGAATCAAATAAGCTTATTGAAAAGCTTGCTTAATGGACTTTGTTGCTTCAACAACGCAACTTTGAAATTGTGCATTAGATAGGTATAACCAATTTGGATATAAACAAACTTTCTTATAATCTAAGTCCTTTGGAAGAAGACTTAATTGGAGCTTGATGATATGGAAATTGCAATAGAGAGATAGTTCATGTATAGCTTGTAACTATAAACTTGTCTTTAATGCCAAATTCTACAACCATGGTTTGTAATCAAAGATTAAATGAGGAATTAAATAGGATCTAAGTGATTAATAATGTGTAAAAGGATCTTGTAGTCTTACACAAGTTTCAACAAAGAATATTTCTTTTAGCTATTTTTATTATAAAAAGAAATAAAATTAGTCACCAAATAACAAGATTTTATTATAAGAATGATTTATTATTTTGTCCATGGCATAAAAGAGCTAGGTGCATAGTTCTAAGACTAGATCAAAGAACTTCTATTATATAGCAAGTATATTAAGAGCTTAGATATTTTAGAATACGTATGATATATTTTATTTTTTATAAAAAATATTGGTGGACTAATACGTATCAATAGGTGGCTATATATATTTCTTAATGTGAAATGTGTGATTTGGTTAAATCAAGCTTTAACACCTTATTACCTAAGTTGAAGCCATTACATATCATAGGTTTGGATTACCATTGGTTTTTAGACTTTTTAGGCCACTTCTTGTTACCTCACATAGAACTAAATACATGTTGGTAATAGTAGAGTATATTAGCAAGTAGATTAAATTTATGGCTTTATTACAAAATTCTTTAGAATTAGCAACTATGGCTTTTTCAATCATGTAATGGCACATTTTGGAGCACCTATTGAAGTCTTAATAGATTAAGAAAGAGAGTTCCTTGGGAAGGTTGAAATTGTATGTACTAAAGTTTTAATAGAACATTGTATCACCTCTAAAAATCATCTTGAGAGAGATGGCTTAGTTGAATAAGTAGTTAAATCATCAAGCATGGTTTATCGAAGTATGGAATATTTTATGGCAACTATTGTGATTGAAACTTGATGTTATTATAGATTGTAATAGATTACTACTTTAATAGATATGCATCTTTGGCATCTTATAGTCCTTACTAGTTGTTATATAGGCAAGAGTCAATTCTACCAAGTTTAGTATATAAGAAGCTTGTTCTAATTGTAAACTTAGATAATCTTGATACTAAGATTTAATGTCTATATGATCAAGCAAAATTCTTTAAAATATCATGCTTGCGGCTTTAAAAAACTTTTATATTATTCAACATTGTGATACCTTATAATATACTTGTATTTGTAATAGAACTTATAAAATTTAATTGCGGAGCTTTTCTAAAGAATATTATGTGTCTTTGTAATGTGAGGTATCTACAATACTTGATCTTAAGATAGGATGCATAATCCTACATGTAAAGGATATATTATCCTGTGGTATTTTATTGCTTGAAGAAAATAATGAACAAAAGTATTGGAAGCATTCAAAGAATTGTGTTCTTTCACATCTTTCTATTGATGATTTTGTACATCATGAATTGAAAATTGTTCCAATTGGTCTTTTTTGTTTTATATGTAGTGAAAAGAAAGAAATTGCTATCATGCTTTTGTATAATCAATGCCAATGTAGATGGCATATGGCATGTTTGACACCACCTCTTTCAACTCTTCTTTTGGAGATTTCATTTGTCCTAGTTATAAGAAGTCTTTCAACCATGCCTCTTTTGTTGATAAGGATTAAATGTTCTTTCTTCTATGTTTATTATACGTTTTCATGGTCTAGCTATTACAATACTAGTTTGGATGAATAAAATTCTACAACAACATTATTGTGGCATTCATCTTTGACTATATGTATTTTGTAGTCCTAGTTGAGTGGAAGGTCTTAACCAATTGGAAAGGGGGGAAGGAAGAGGAAGGAGATGAGAGCACTTGAGAATATATTGATTGTACATATATACTTGGTTTAGATTACATACTTTGTGATTGATTTATAGCACTTGATGTATTGTGTGTAACAATCTTTATTTATACAACAACTGTCATGTGATGTAGCATCAATTGCCAAATCTCATCAAATATATTTAATTTAGTTTAATTTAGTGGTTTTTCTATTCAATTAGTTTTTTCATTAGTTGACTTTGTCAATGTCAACTAGGATTTAAATACTTCAGCAAAAAAATCTCCTGACTCAACATTCTTATTAAATCAAGTCTTATAAGTGGTTTTTGAGAGAGAAAAAGCTTGTAGTAAGGATTTTACTTAACTATGGTGATTAGCTATTTAGTAAAGTTTTTAGGTTTATCTTCTACTCATACTTCTACTCTTAGATTTTTCCTTTCTGGTGTAAGAGATAGCTTGATTTTTTTGTATGTAGATTCTTCTTCTTTTTTTAAAAGTGTGTTGGTTGTGCATTTGTATTTGGTATAGATTATATACTTTGTGATTGATTTGTAGTACTAGATGTATTATGTGTAACAATTTTTGTTTATACAACAACTTAAAATCATGTAATCTATATTTAAACCTATGTAATATATTATTGCAAGTTATTGAAATAGTTCATTTGTGATTTTAGAACAAAAATTGAACTTACAATGCCATATAACATATTTTTAGGTGAATAAATATAAAACATTATAATTTAAGAATTTATTGAATCTTAACAATAATTAATAATATTAAATATATTTTAAAATAAATTTATGAAAAGTGGGCATATTAATGTTAAATAATTAGAAATTCTTTTAAAAAAAAGATAAAAATAAAAGAAAATTAGACTATTTAAGCACAAGATTTGAATCCAATGCCATTGCAAAATATGAGCTTTGCAGCCTTAGCTATAATCTATCTATTATAATATGAGGCCAAGCACATCAAATTCTCACATATTAATTAGGTAAGAATAGTATCATATAATTGGATGACCATAACTTTAGTTTTAATAAAAAAAATAAAAAAATAAAAAAAATCAAATAATGAATCATGAGGAGTAAATAATAATTTTTAAATGAATTTTTTTCAAGCATAAAAGGCATTTATTTGTAGTATTAGGATTCATTGTTTAAGTGTCATTTCAAGTTCAATCAGCATGAATCAACATTGGTATGCCTTGCTATTGTGTTTGTCCTAGCAAATGTTTGGGATTCAAAAAAAAATTGTGTTCAAAAACATGTGTTTAGTCAATTTTTGATCAACCAATTTGGACATAATTTTAAGCTCTAAGTCATACACTATCCTTAGTTGATAGTAATCCCATTAGTAAATTATGGAGAAACTTGGGAAAATTTGGAATTATAGAGTTTATGTGTTTTGTTAGAAGAGAAGAAAAAATGTGTTAAAGTTTTTATTAATAATTCTAAATGGAGAGATGCATAATAAGAATTTTAGAGCATTGAACATAGTTCTTTTAATTCCTTTTCAAACTCCATGAAAGTTGTAGTGTTTTGTAGAATAAATTGAAAGAGGTGGAAAATAATTTTGTAGAGATAGTGAACATCAACTAGTGAACATCAACTACATTTGAAGAATACCTAAAAGTTGTAGTGTTTTGTAGAATAAATTGAAAGAGGTGGAAAATAATTTTATAGAAGTAGTGAACATCAACTACATTTGAAGAGTACAAGAATCTTAAAGGGCATTTTTTTTTGGAGTGAAATTCCTCACAACTTAAAGAATGGTATTATTGGGAACTTTGAAGTGAGAAAAGCCAAGAAAAAAGCCATCAAATAGCAATTAGAGATTAAGCTCAGTTTCCAAAGATAGGGATCGAGTCAAGAGAATCCATTTTGTTATGCAGTTCGATGCGACACCTTCGCCAATTGTACAACCAATTTACTCTGGCACGGCGACAATTAGATGACAGCTCTGTCAATATCTACCTCAATTTGAACCTCATTTTGAAGATATCTTTGAAGAGTACGTTGTGACCACACTGATGAATAACCACTCATTGCTACAATGCAAAAAGAGCTCCATCATCTGCACAAGGATATCTCCGGAAACACTCGTTTTACTTCACGTTCGCTAAAGATACAGTGGTCACAAGTCAACTCATGAACTTGTCGGTGTAAAGCCTCATGTATATTATACAACAGAGGTTGAAATTCCTCGTCTGGACAGAGTAGAAGCAGCGGCTTAATCAGATCCCCATCTTTTTTCAAATTCCAAAACCTAGTTTGAATGTCTGACAAAAGAGGATAAAATTCTCAATGAGGGTCACATATCAGTCCCAGAGTCTGTATCTCAAATCCAGGTTGCCGAAGCAGCGTTTCTTCGGACACCTGATGAGAAAAACTTTGAGGCGGCAGATTCCAGGTGGAATAAGTTTAGGTTGCACTGTGGAAATTTATTGGTGGTTAATGGACATGATAATGCCATTCCAGAAGATTTCGAACACTTGAAGGTAGAAGTGGAGGAAGAGTGCTCTCAATTGTCTTGACCCTCTGCATACGCGAAGGAATCAGAGTCTGTCGCCTGGTTGGAATCAACCGCCTGCAACCTTCGGAAAGAGAGTTTTTGCTGTGGGAGACTGCTTCCAGCTACAGATGTGAGATCAGTGTCGACCAAAACTGTGTCCTCTTCCGTGAAGTCTCCTCTCAAAATCGAACGTGCTAGCTCATTTTCTACACTCTGTTGGATTACCCTCTTCACTGGCCGTGCTCCGTAGTTGGGGTCGTAACCCAAGCTTGCGAGGAGCTGGACGGCACTCTCTGTCACCTTCAAGGTGATCTTCTTGTCCATCAGTCTCTTCTGCACACGGTCCAACTGTACCCACAAACGCAAGAGATTTGTGAGAAAACCCGATTGAAAGATGGAGCCATGTACTAACTACGGCGGGCAGCGGCTCTGTGGAGATGGACAAACTTAGCGATGAAGGTGATCAAAGTGTTACCTGTAGTTTCACGATTCTGCTGATTTGATCCCGATCCAGTTGCTGGAAGACGATGTATTCGTCAATACGGTTCATAAACTCTGGTCGGAATGTATTCCTTGCAGCCTCCATCACTCGAGCTCTCATAGCTTCATATACGACCTCCTTGTTGTTGCCAGCTATACTATCTGCGCTGTTAAGGACATATTGTGACCCCACATTGGAAGTCATTATGATCACAGTGTTAGTAAAGCTAACAGTCCTGCCCTGTGAATCCGTCACACGCCCATCATCAAGGATCTGAAGAAAGATGTTAAAGACGTCAGAATGAGCCTTTTCTATCTCGTCGAAAAGAATCACAGCGTATGGTCTTCTTCGAACAGCCTCTGTGAGTTGCCCACCCTCTTCATAGCCAACATATCCAGGGGGTGCTCCGACAAGCCGAGAAACAGCATGTTTCTCCATGTACTCACTCATATCAATCCTCACAATAGCCTCCTCAGTATTGAAGAGATACGACGCCAAAGCTTTGGCCAACTCAGTTTTCCCCACACCCGTAGGTCCCATAAACATGAAGCTGGCAATTGGTTTATTAGGATCAGAGAGCCCAGCTCTAGAACGCTGGATGGCCTCAGCAACGGATTTCACAGCTGGATCCTGACCTACGACCCGCTTGTGAAGCTCATCATCAAGATGCAAGAGCTTCTCCTTCTCTGACTGCTGCAATTTCGAAATGGGAATTCCAGTCCATTTGCTCACAACTTCTGCAATATCGTTTCCTGTCACTTCTTCACGAAGCATAGAATTGCCGCTATTTTGATACTCATCAAGCGCCTTCTCAGCAGCTTCTAACTGGCGTTGCAAAGTCGTAAGACTTCCATATTTCAATTCAGCAGCTCGGTTGAGGTCGTAATCCCGCTCTGCTTGTTGAATTTCTAGGTTCACTCTATCAACCTATACATGACAGAGGAGATGATCAGACTTCTCGACTCTCCCAGCATAATCGACGAAACCACTCCATTTGCCTTTCCAAAATCATGTTCTTAGAAAAGTAGGTGCACCATTTTATGAAGGGAATTTGAGGGAATAGCTGCCTGTGTAGCAGTACAGACTCTATCTGCAGTTCTATTTTACAAATATCAACAAGAGCTTGGACATTGCGCTCCGGGAAAATGTAAGAAGATGAATCAACAAGAAACATTCAACTGTATACTTGCCTCTTCTTTGATGGACTGAATCCGAGTCATCACAGACTTCTCATGTTCCCATTGATCTGTCAACTCCTTCTGCCTCTGCTTCAAAAGATCCAGCTCAGTAACAAGTCGGTCCAGCCGGTCGCGTGATGCTTTATCCGTGTCGCTTTTCAGAGACAGCCGCTCCATTTCTAACTTCAGCACAGACCTATCTATTTCATCAAGTGCTGTTGGTTTTGAAGTGATTTCCATCTTTAGTTTCGCGGCAGCTTCATCCACTAGGTCGATTGCTGAAAATTGAGAAAGTTTGAATCAGAATCGTTTTTAGAAAAATAATGCGTCGTTGGAAAAAAAAAAAAAAAAAAAAAAAAAAACCGATGAAAGGATCTATCCAACAGCCCAAGGATAAAAAGTAACCATTTCTGAAACTTCCAAAGACCTTCACATACCTTTGTCAGGGAGAAACCGGTCCGCAATGTAGCGATCAGCTAACATTGCAGACTCCACCAAAGCGCTATCCGAAATCCGCACTCCGTGATGCAATTCATAACGTTCGCGAAGACCTCTCAAAATAGACACTGTATCTTCGACAGAAGGTTGGTCCACATAGACTTGCTGGAAGCGACGTTCTAGTGCAGGATCCTTCTCAATGTACTTCCGGTACTCGTCCAGAGTAGTTGCTCCGATGCAGCGCAGCTCCCCGCGCCCCAACATTGGCTTCAGCAAATTCCCAGCGTCCATTGCGCCACTGGTAGCACCAGCGCCAACTACAGTATGTATTTCATCAATAAACAAAATGATTTGACCATCGGAATCGGTTACCTCCTTCAGGACAGCCTTAAGCCTGTCCTCGAATTCTCCACGATATTTAGCACCTGCTATCAACGATCCCATATCCAGCGAAATCAGCTTGCGATTAAGCAGAGCTGATGGCACATCTCCTTGCACAATACGCTGAGCCAAACTGCCACCAAGCATCCAAAACCCATTAAGAATAGATACCCACTTCTATTTAGATACTACGACCTACCTTATCATATAAATTCAATAGGCGCGACAAAAAAGACGACGAAAGGTAATTTTTAGTGCTCACCCTTCAGAAATGGCTGTCTTTCCTACACCAGGTTCTCCGATCAATACTGGGTTGTTCTTCGTTCTACGAGATAAAATCTGGATGCAGCGTCGAATTTCATCATCTCGTCCAATAACAGGATCTAGTTTTCCCTGTCTTGCCATTTCAGTCAAGTCCTTTCCATATTTCTCCAGAGCTTCGTACCTACCCTCTGGGTCTGGTATTCAAGCAAACATGTCCCAAGGTTACTTTTCATGGACCATTCTGTCAAATGATTCATCACAATTATACACCAAAGTTCGCCGCCTTGCTGTCAACCAGAGTAGATGACTGCAATTTTAAGCACTCGTGTTCGGGTCGCGTGATCACCAGTGCAGTGATAAAAAGATTGCCTCCTGCAATACAGAATAAAACTTGCATAAGTTACAAAGGAGAATCTTACCTTGGTCAGTCACCTTTTGAGAACCTCGAATAGACTGAATTGCAGCATTCAAAGTCTTCGCACTCAACTGGAAATCTTTATACAGTTGTTGCCCAAAGCGTTTATCTTGAGTAAATGCCAGGACCAAATGCTCAACAGACACGAAAGAATCCCCGTAATCCTTTCTATGACCCCGTGCCTTCTCAATCAATCCCTCCAAATCCCGACCAAGCATAGACCCACTTGTGTCACCCAGGACCTTAGGTTGCCTTTGAATAAAACGTTCAGTTGCTTGCAACAAAGAAGTGTTATCCACGCCCGCTTTAGAAAAAATTCGCCTCGCCAATCCATTTCGTTGCTCCAACAATGCTTTCATCAAATGCTCTGTCTCTACAATTTGTTGCTTGTTTTCTTTCGCAACATCGGGAGAGGCAACTATTGCCTGCCAAGCCATCTCCGTGAATTCACCCTGATTAATCTGTTCAGTCAAATTCAGGGACATGCGCATCAAAAATCAGAATAGGGAGTCTCATTGACCATTCAACACCTCCTTCCTCACGCTCTACGCCCCACCACGCAATACACAGAAGAATGCCGCACCCAAAATCGCAAGAATCAAGAAATTAATGCCAAAAAAATAGCAAACCATAAAACCTTGAAATCAGGTTGGATTTCCAAGGTTGTACCATACCACCAATTCTGCTAATCAGAAAGCTATCAACGTACCCTTCCATCTCGAGCCTGAGCCGATGCAACAATTCGATAATTGCGCTTGCTACGCTCCGACTTCACAAAGTCTTTCCTCCTGTTGAACCGCTGTGCTCGCAGACCTGCAAATGTGTGCCAAGGACCAGCATTGACCAGACCAATAGAATCCGCGGACGCTGTCACCCTCACGACTCCCAGACGTATCACGCGCTTCCGCAGCGTCGTAGTCACAGAGTGAAATGGCTGTTGCTGCTGCTGCTGCTCTGGCAATAAAAGCCTGGGAGAGGCAACTGAAACCAGAGCTGGCGGCCTCACAATCGACAACATCGCACGAGATCGCACCGCCTGCAATGCAAGCGAGCTTATCCCTTGTTGCAGCAGGAGATTGGCAACACGCGTGCCCAATTCAGCCCACAAAAAACCCACCTCCAATCCCCCTCTTTCCAAGCCACCGAATCTAAAAAACCTTCGAATCCCGAAATCCTATCCCGTTCCCGTCAACCCATCATTCCTTCAGAGCACTCAATCCAGCCGCGAAACCCAAAACTAATCAGCCCCAATAACTCACACCCCAAAAAAAAGCGAATTCCGACTGCTCTTCCTAGGATTCAACCCCACAACTCTACTAGGTGAATTCACTGAACAGGAACACTAACACTACGACTGAGACGCACAGCCTCTCTCAACGTCAGTGTCGCAATGCCAACAACGTGACGGTGCAGCGCATCGACGAAACCCACCCCAGCTACGTAATGTATCAATCTCGCAATCTCTCTCTCTCTCTCGCTCGCTCGCTCGCTGAACACACGGAATTAGCGCAGCTGAATAACAATGAAACGACTGATGGCGGAAACACACAGCCAACTGGTGAGCCGAGAGGGAATGGAATGGAAAATGGGGAATGGAGGTTGAGGATTCTGATGCAGTGGACTAGTTAAGAAGAGAACGATGGAGTGCCGCTATCTCGGAATCTGTCCCGCGTGGGCGCCCCCCTTCTTCTTCTTCCTCCTCCCTTCGCGCACTTCGTTTCTTCGTTGCTTTTGTTTATTTGAAAAAAAAAACTCCGGCGTCCCATCCAAGGAGGCACCTGGCTGCGGGGAAGCTTCAGTTGCGGGGGGAAAGGTTGGGGGGGGGGGGGGGTCCTAGGGAATGTCCTCTCTTGGGGAATGTGTAAGAACACTATGCGTGTTTCCTTTTTCTTTTTCTTTTTATAATATTAATTTGTAAGGAAATCTATTATTTTGGGTGATATTTGGTGTGGTGATGGGAAAATAAGTGCGTGGCTTTTCATTTTCATTTCTTTTCTGAAATAATTTTTGTTTTTTTTCTTTTTCTTTTTCTTTTGAAGTTTTCATCTTTTTGAAATGTGTAGAATGTAGAAATGATATTGTGAATGAATTTCTTCTTTGACTCATTTGTTGAATTAAACACTGAGACTAGATTTTAAAAATTGGTTCAATTGTTTATTTTTTTATTTAAAAATATATATATACTTGATTTATGTATGTGTGGTTAAGTCATTGATATAGATTAGTATATTTCCAAAAATTCTAGAAAAGAGGTGAATGTCACACCTTAAAGTTGGAATTGGGCTTCAAGAAATTGAAGCGTATATGCTAGTTTTTTGTTTTATTCAGTTTTATGCTTTCTTAAGTATGAATTTCGTTTTATCCTTGTTATGCATGAAAGTGTAGGTTTTTAGGCGTGATGATTTGGAAAAACACGAAAACTTCCACATAAAAAGATTGATAGTTAATACACAAATAATTGAATATAACAAATAATAATAATAATAACAACAACATATTAATGTTAACAATTAGAAATGATAAAAACCAATAACTTACTTGAATATTCCTACTGGCATTCCCAAGAACCTTAAGCAAATTCTAAAATCCCCATTGTAATATTCCAAAATCCAAAATATTCCTATAACTACAACCTCAATGTAACCCCTAAATCTAGACTTTATCAAAACGTCTGGATTTAAGTTACTTGATTACCACATGTTTATCCATTAATCAATAAAAAGCCTCTCAAAAAAATTACACATATATATATATATATATATATACATACATACATATTGCAGATTTGTTTTACAAAAAACAACCAATCAACAATAATAAAGGTATATATTGAAAAGAAGTTAAAAAACAGAATTAAAAATAAAAAATAAAATCTTATTTCTTACAAAGTAACACACACACACACACACATATATATATATATATATATATAATATTTGCCTTATCCGGCAATGTAACACACAGTCTATTTCGAACATATTCATGAATTAATTTTTAAATTATCTTTTTTCAATGTTTGGTTTAAAAAAACAGAAAAAGCAATATAGAGCTTCATAAAATAAGTTCTTTTTCAAAAATATGTGTTCAATCAATATGAGTTTACACATATTTTTGGTAATTATCACTTCTGTGTGTAATCAAATCTTAATGATGAAATATGCAGAGTATCATTACAAAATAGAAGAAAGAAAGTAGAATTAAAATTAATAAATAACAGTTATTCAGGTTGCAATTAATTTATTATTTACAGTATATGCATACATGCAGACATCCATTCATTCATACTCAAAGGTTGATGTTAGAATGTGACAATTTATAACATCTACATATGATATTGTTGCCTGGGAAAACATCTGAACGTCTTTTTATCTAATTCAAGATTAATAAATAAAATGCTAGTTAACTTTTAATTATTTCTTAATCACAGTGAGTTCCATCAAAATATACATGTGCTTTAAAGTTAATAAAAAAATCTTATTTATTATAAAAAAAAATCAGTTTGAATTCAACTTATTCAAAAGTACATACAACTCAAGCCCACATGTATGCATCTGATTCAATATGTTTTCATTTACAACTGTTTTCAGTGCAATAATATTTTTTGAAATATCACCTACATCTATAATATGTTACAGATTTTTATTTTTTTTCTTCAAAAAGATACCCTCAAAAGTTTAAGTATTGTTTATTTTTTAAATTATTGGTATTTATCGTGTATGAAATTCTCCCTAATGTAGTATGCAAATAGAGGATACCTCACTTGCAAGTTTCAACACACTAAAAGTGAATTTATTTCCATGGAATACAACAGCAGCACAAGAGTGTTTTTATAATTCAAGCTTCTTGAATCCTATTTGAATTTATTTGAATTTTATTTTGTGATTATAATGAAAGGAAAGGTGCTTATAAGAGACGAGTTGCAGTGTGGCTCAGAAGGAAAGGAGATTCCAGAAATGCCTTAAATACAAGAATGAAAAGCTTGTGGGGGGCGACGACGTGGCATGCTGAGGTGGAGCAGCAGCAACGAAGGAGAAGAGCATGACGTGGCATGCTGAGGTGGAGGAGGGGGAATGATATCCAATGAGAGGGAGGCAGATTCCAGAAGCCTGGAGGGGTCTGTGCTTTTGGTGCTTGCGGAACTGAAACGGTGTAACTGACGGATGAATAAGAGCGGAAGGAAGAGGGGAATTGAGAGGGAAGGAAGGATGGATGGATGAAGGAGGCGCGGGGATCATGGACGAAAGTAGTTCAATGAAAGCCACTCGTGTCCTCATTCCCAACGCTGTGCTGTCTGTGGCCGGCCCCTCCTGCCTCGCACCCCCACCTCCCCCTCTTGGTTGTACCCGCAGTCCATCCGCGCGCACTGGTGGTGGTGGTGGTGCTGTTGTTGTTGTTGTTGTTGGTGTTTGTTGATGCTGGTGCTGGTGCTGTATCGTCTCCGTCTCCTCCCCCCCCCCCCCCATAGTGAAGAGCCACCAGTGTAACCTCGCCCTTCCATGCCACGCGCCTCCTGTCTCGGCATCGCTTGTAGTCGCCCCGGTGCAGCGCTCGTCGCTGGGAGCGGCAGTTTCCTTTTTGTGCGCTTGCAGCTTGCGTTCTTTCCCCAATGAGGATTCGCAAAGGCCACCGCTGCTTGCCGCTGGCGCCCGCGGATCGTTCTTGTTTGCAGGAGGATTTGGCGCACAGGGATCAAAGTGGTCGTGCGGTAGATGCCCGGAAAGCCGAGGTCCAATCGCCTGGACTCGCCGACGGCACTGCTGCTGTTGCTGCACCCGCAGACGTTGCAGCCACCAGAGGCTCTCAGGACCTGGTACTGCTGGCGTGGAGATTGTAGTTGCCGGGTTGTAGTTAGCACGTCGTGAGTTTTGGATCCACGTGTAGCGTGTGGCTAAGTGGTATTTTTATGAGACTGTTTGCAGACGCCAGACGTAATGAATTCCGGTGCGGTATTGTCGAGTTTTGGCCGAAAAGGCAATCTTCGGACGCCGTTTCTACTTGGAACCGATGTAGCTCTCGGACTTGGCTGGCATTGAGAAATGAGTTAGTGTATACTACTGGTCCAAGTGTGTTACTTGAAGCCTATTTAGACGTGTGGAGAAAATCTGTCTTCATTATATCTGCAGCGGTCCATGGTCGATATGCAACACTGACAGACCTGACCGGTTTCATGTTGCAGCAGGAACATGCACACGGCACGTCTTTGGATAGAGACGCGAGCCTGGAGGATGATCCAGAAAAGAACAGGTACGTCCTCCTCTGAAGGCCATCTTCCGGTGTGTTTCCCAATTGTCGCATTGCTGGTATTTCCACTGGTGGGCAATACTCTAGATGCCATAGCTGTGGTCAGCACACGTTTCCGTAAATTGTAATCAGGTTCTTTGTCGTTGATCGACTCGCCCCGTCTAGAAGCTTGTCGTTGCTACACAGATAACTTTGTGGGAGCATCGAGCCTAGTAGACAGGAATCAACTGGACTGAAAGAAATGCATAAATGTCTTGTGCGAAGCCATGGGTCTGACGCGACGTCTGACCTGTGGAAGAATTGCTGGATAACAGGGTTTCCGCCGATGATGATTTCAACGACCAGTCCGCGGTTCAGAATACAGGTGATCACTGCTTCCACAAGTATACTGATTGAGCCCCTATAATTCTGAGGGTTTGGAATAGACTGAGACTTGCTCCGACAGCCCTTCATCTTCGTGTTCTCAGATCTTTGTGACGCAACTTTACCTTAGGGTTCAACTTTAATAGCAGGACCCTCCACCTCACATCTTTACGAAATCGCCCTTCTAGTCTGAGTGATCTCACACAGATTGATCGCGTGTTGTCTCAGTTGAGACCGGGTCGTCAGCTGATGGACATTCAAGAAAGCGTCGCGCGTCGATCTCCGCGGAAGTGAAACTCTCCATCAGCTCTATCATACGAGCAGGTACAATACTTGGGGATGTTAAGTGCGCATCTTCATTACGTAATGAGCATTTGAAGACGATTCAGCTGGAGGTTGCTTAGGACCTGATTATTGCTTGATTGCAGGTCATTGCAACCATAATTTCTTGGGTACAGTGAGTCATTCTCTAGGTTTCGTGCTTAGCACTTCTATGACCTAGGATCTTGCAGGAGTCGGTGGGTAAGCCTGAATTGGTCCTTGTGTTCAGTTCAGAGTTGCGCAATGTATGCTAAATTGTGCAGCAAAACATGTTGATAGTGTAAGGAACGGATGGTACCTCGTCGAACCTAAATTTGAGCGGCAACTTGTGTAACCTAGGTGTGGCACCCGTGAAAACTAATTCGCCAACGGCTCTAGTAAGTGCGCAGTCAGTTGTCACGTCGGACTTGTCACTTGTCAAAGACCGTAAGGACGCGAAAGATAGCAGCCCATCTATTGCAATGAAAACCATGGATCAGCACAATCTTCTGTTGCAGTCTTTGAAGCGCGTCTGCTCTACTGCTGTGAATACCGGGCTGACAGCGAAAGAGGCAGTTGCAAAAATCCGAGAGCTAAGCCTACCAGGTTTGAACGAAGGGGGTGAGAGACTGATCGTTCAGGTAGCTAAAGCATTCCGTAGTTCTTCCGCTTTCATCGAGCGCGAGGAGCGTGGAAGATACTTTGTACAGGATTCTTCGAGTTTAAAAGAGTGGGAAAATTTCAATGCTGAAGAATCCAGTGTTAATTGTGAGATGGCAATTTTGAGAGAACCTACAGAAGCGGAAAAGGCCGAAGAAGCTGCGAGGCAGTTGCAAAGTTTGCAGAGGGTGCAGGAGAATATCGTTGATCGTGAGGGGGTAACAAATCGCAAGGAAAAAAATGGGCTCGAGGGGAAATTAGATCATAGAATTGTAACATTGAGAACCAAGAGCGGCGCCAGGGCGTCCAGCTCACAGAAGGCGAGTCTGTCGCGGGATCAATCAGGATCCCGGTGCAATCGGGATGATGGGAAGGGTTGGAGATGTTTTCGACCTGCGGAAGTAGGATTTTCTTTGTGCAAGTACCACCGGGATCAGATCCGCCGGGCCGAAATTCGTCGAAGGAAATCGAGGAATAAGTCAAAGGAACAGATTCCAGTGAAGCCTTTGTACCCTATACCGAAGGATGTCAAGATATCTTCCATTTCAGAAGTGGATAAATCAGTCGACGCCAATATGATTGAATCTGACGACGAACTGCCTGATATTAAGCGTCGGAAATTTGTGAAAGCAAAATCCCTGAAGTCAATACTGTGAACGTTGAGCTACCGGAGATTTTGTTAGGGATGTTGTGTGTAGAGGCCTTATCAGCCAGTCGGAATGTTTTCCGGATTATATCTTGTACATATGCATTCTTTTCAAATAAGCTTCTTGCTCGGACGGTGTTTATTAGCAACACGGCATGACGTTTGTTTCATTTCGTTTCAGGGTCGTTTGTCTCATTTCGTTGTGTTGGTGTGAAGCATTCCAATAGTCATCCCATGGTTTCATGAATACTTCTCCGAGTACGAATTTTGTGATACTGGAAACCCTTGCGCCGGAGACATCGATTCTGTGTTTGTCCTTGTTGCACATCGGAAACTCCCGATTCTGAAACCTGACTATTTCTGCAGGAAAATTCAGAGTCAAGTGTCGAATGACATTACTCTGGCTAAGCCTGAAAGGAATTTCTTTTGCATCCCTCAATTTTTCGCAATGCATCAATCCTTTGCAGTCACCAGCAGTCGAACCCTCTTTCCGCTGCGACGTTTGGCTTTCGTATCAGTCTCACTTGATTAGTCCCACTCGAAATGCTATTTGCGAAGTGCCCAGGCACATCACCAATTCCAGCTCAACTCCCACACATTATATGGGGCCGCGAACTTTCAGACATCTTCCCACACTTTAGCTCCCATTCTCAAGGATAAATGTCGATTCCCAACTGGTACAACAAATATTTTATCATCCAAAATGTACCTACCGCCTGCAGTTGGTCAGCAGCCAATACGACCAGGACAAATTCAATTCAATCAGCTATAATAAATTGCATCTTGGTCAGGAGTCGTAGATCCAGGGCGTCATGACATGCACGGTCATTTGAGCCCAAACCTGTTTCGTGGAATCCACTGCTACACTCCTTAGAAACCCACTACATTGTTCGCAACCGACGCACAGAATCCGACATGCTTTCATCGACTGCATTGATCCAAACAGAAGAAAAATGATAGCAATCAAACATCAGCTTGAAAAGCTTCACAGTGGACGATTCCACAACAACGTGGGCGTGACTTTGCCATAATAATGCTTCATTTTCTGCGCATTTCCTAGCGCAACTCGATAGCGCTGTCGCATTAAAATAGAGCACCGAATCAGATGCTTCCACATCACGAAGCAAATATCTCAGCCCTCGTCATCGCCAACCTACAACTGACGCTTTGCGTCCAGTCCCGGAACGCACGAAACCAGGTCGATTTACCAAACCTGTAGGCCTTCATCCATCTTCGACTTCCTTATTCCGCTAACGGATGCGGTTTTCAAGGATTCGAACCTAGAGTTCTCGGCTACTTGGGACCCAGACCCAGAAACGGGTGTTCTACAGTCACTGCCTCAGAAGACACGTCGAGAGCTTCTTCAATTGTAAAATCCATTTGTACGGGGGTACATTCTTTTGGTCCCGAAGTGCCTTGTACAATGAGCTATCCTGGGTTAGTGTAGGGTACTAGAGTAAAGGATAGACCGTCAGCAATGATGATGTGAATTGACCGTGTGGGGAGGTCCTACGTTTTTTCGTCACTCAGAATCATCAATTACAAATAGCCAATACTGCAGTTATAGGTTTACAAAACCATGTTTCAGGAGAGATTGTTTAGAAAACGCAAATAGAAGACTTGCGATACCATGTACTAAACATCGACGTTGAACATACCAAATTCTGCGCGGAGAAGTGATTTTCGTTTAGCGTGTCAGTTACAAATTCAAAAGGGTGTGGTTGATGATCAGTCAATGGTGGTTCAGTATCGGGAGGTTTCAATTGTGAACGAGCCACCGTAGATGCGATAGGGGATCTACATGGATGAATGAAGAGAGGAGAGTCAAACGGATGTCGTCGGTCATGTGTTTTCTCTCTCTCTCTCTCTCTCTCTCTCTCTCTCAAAACGTTGCTTGGGAGACGGTCCTGGCTTTCGCTTCCCCCCTTTATCTCCCTCCATTCGCTGTACCTGCAGCCCAGCCCAAGCCCGCGCTCCCGCGCTCACTGGTTGCTATGGTTGTTGCTCGTTACGATGCTTCTGTGGTTTTTGTGAACACGGTGGTAGCGGCGGCGGGACAAATCTCGCTCACTCTTTGCCTCTCTTCTCAGCGTGTTTTTTTTTTACCATTTCCATCCCCTTGAGTCCTCTCTCATTTTAATCTTCGTTTTTAATTCTGACTCTTCTGCTATGAGGATCCGTAAGGGTCACCGATGCTTGCCGCTTCCGCCTGCCGATCGTTCCTTCTTGCAGGAGATCCCGGTGAATCCGGAGAAAGAGGTTTGTTCGAATGAGGACAGGAAGGACGACGCGAAGCAGGCGTTATTACGACTCGTCGCGCTTGCTGCTGCTCCAGTTGCAGACATCATCAGTGGTCCTCAGTACCTGGTAGTGTCGATTGCGGAATATTGTAGTTAACACGTTGCAAGTGTCGGGCGTAAGTAATATGTGTGCTCATGTGATATTTTATAAGATTGCTTTCAGACACTAGAAGTATTGAATTATGGTGCGCTGTTGGTCCCGCCCTATCGAGCTTTGGTAGATAAATCAATCTCCAGGCGTGGTTTATTCTCGGAAATGTTGTAATTCCCAGGCTTCCGGCTGGCATTGAGAAACGGGTAGAGAAATGTCGGTTCATGTAAATAGCGAAGTTAGAGTATGTTACTGGGCCGACTGTGTTTATTACAACGGATTCTCCATTCTCGTGTCCATAAGCTGCAATCATGTCTGCAGTGCGGCCATGGTTGATTTGCAACACTTATAGACCATAACTGTTCCACGTTGCAGCAGGAACATGCAAACGGTTCATCCGTGGAAAGAACTCCAGGCTTGGATAATGATATAGAGAAGACCAGGTATAGCCTCTTCCGAAGGCTGTTATAAATTCGTGTGCGGTAACTGTAGCATTGTTGTATGGAGAATCTCCAGTCCGCCGCATTGCTCTGGGTGCTTTAGCTGTGGTCAGCAAGCCTACATGTTGTGACACTCGTTTTCAACTACAAAAATGGTGCCGCAAGATCGTAGTGATGTTTCTGCAAATAGAAATTAGTCCAGACGACGACCGACGAAACGCACAAAGTTATTTTATGAAGCGGTGGATCTGACCTATGGAAACATTGGTGGATGGCAGGGTTTCAGCTGATGATAATTTCAACGGGCACTCTTCCATGCAGGACACAGGTAATTATTTGTTGCACAACTACTTTGATAGAGCTAAAAGTGTTGAGATTTAGTACTGAGCGCATTGAATGCTTTTGAATCAGATTATTGTTGTCAGTTTTCTGAACTTACTCACGCCACAATATACTTCATTTGGTGATTACTTTCAAAAATTCCCTTCATCTTCGCGTCCAGAACTCTGTAATACAAATTTTACTTAGGGCACGACCTTAATAGTACGACTTTTCACCACACATAAGTATGAAAAACTTCAGGTTTCTGAATCTAAGTAATCTCTTACAGATCTATCACGGCTTTACCCTGTTGGAGTTTGACTGTTTGATTATATGCTGTGCGATATGTCCAGGATTCTGATTTGGTCTGTGCTGTTGTTCAGGTATCGATTCAGCAGTGAGGAATCAGACAGCAACACCGCCGAGGACGAAATCTGTCTTTACCAGGCACAAGCCAGTCTTCACAGCTGGAACAGCCCGTAGCAACACATCCACCATAGAAATGGAAGATAAAGCAGATTTGTTACTGCAATCATTACGCAATTTTTGCTCAAAATCGGGTATAACTGGTGTAAGTGCTTGCGACGCAGTTGCCCAGATGATAGAGCAAGGCTTACCAGGGTCAAACGACGGGGATGAAAGTTTGACTGTGAACGTGGCTAAATTATTTCGCGACAGCTCTAAATTTATAGAACACGAAGGGCGTGGGAGATATTTCTTCCCGGATTTTCCTGCACGCGAAGAAAACGAGTCGTTGATTACAGGAGGTTCAGAATTCTATGGGGGAGAAGCGGTTTCAAGCAGCGATATGATAGAAGCTGCTAGACAGCTACAAAATCTACAACAGAGCTATTCAAATCTGCTCGGCTCTGGTTTTCTTGAACTGAGTGAATCTCCATCCTTCCATGATGGCGATCATAAGACAGTTAAGAACACGATTGAAGGACTTGTTGGACAGTCAAATGTTGGCAGAGATCATAAGCATGTTACAGCAATAAATCAGAGAGCCAGCTCGAATGTTTCCAGATCACAGAAAGTTATCCGTGCTGACCAGGTTGAGTATCAGTGCAAGCGGGATGATGGAAAAGGCTGGAGGTGCTCTCGACCTGCAGAATTCGGGATCACAATGTGCAAATATCACCGAGAACAGATTTGGAAGTCTCAAAGTCGTCGAAAGAGAGCCAAATTTGACGCGGAACTAACCGTTCCTGCTGAGATTTCTTCGTTCACATACGTGGCCAATGCGCGCGCCGTACCGAATGCCGTCACAACAGCAAAAGATCATTGTACATTTCTGGACGAAGAATTGCCGTACGATGAACGTCGGCAGTTTGTAAAGGCGAAGTCTCTGAAGTCTCTACTATCGATCAACGGTGGGCAGACGAAAATTTATTAACGGATTTGAAAGTCAGTGCAAGGTGTTCCGCCTTGGGGAGATCTTACAGTAACTTGTAGGATTTTCATTTGTACATTTGTTTGATGTGGATGTATTGCTTCTCCCCCATCTGATGCTATAGTACTCAAGAAACTACTCATTGAACGTTGTCATCGAGGGTTCGGTTCTCAATGTTTCTAAACTGGACATTAATTCTAGAGTTTATTTAAAAAGGGCATGTCAGCATAGGGAGACGTCGAGATGGAATCCTCAATGACCTAACGATTTAACTGTATTCATTTCGAATTGGTGTTGATAAATTTGAGAACTTAAATAGTTGCATCCTGCGGGATGGATAATTTTGATGACATACCAAGATTCAGGTGAGAGAATCCTGATTGCTTGAAGCGAGCGAGATATGTGAACTTTCGGTTACAACAGCGACCACGAATATCCAAGATTCAGGGCGTTCGCTGCAGAGCTGGAAAGTGACAGTGAAGGTAGTTATGCTCTATTCCACTCAACCTGCAGTGACATGTTCTTCAGAACCGATAGAGATCATAGTAGCTAGAAAGTAGGAGGTATATGTCGATGTGAGTACGATCTAATGCTTATGGATTCTGCAATTAATGAGATCAACAGATAGGAAGGTTTGGTGTTAAGTACAACGCGTTGAAAGGACGCAATCTTTCGCGATTCAATCTCTGGATTACATAGTCTATCAGGGGGCGTGGTTAAAGATTTTGAGAAGTGACTAATCAGAAATTCATTTTCTTCAAAAATTACTGGAGTTTGACTTAGTTTCCACTGTATCAAGTGTTTTATCCAAAACTAAGCACGACCCGAACGCTGCAGGATCAGTCGTTTAATTTACAGGATTTGCGGAAATTTTCGTCTCACAACGTGTTGCAGTTGCGAGCACTGCGGACGAGTAATCCTCACGAGTGGGGGCAAAGTCCTGGGAAACAGTAACACATCACACAGAATCCTAAGTCATCAACAGGCATGGTTCACACCAGCGTACTGGATGAGAAAACAAACGCTCTTCGCCAAAAGCAAAAACTCAATATAGCTCTACGACAAGACATGCAACACCAGGAGAGACATCTTGAGCTACGTCCGAGAGGTGCCACCTGCTTAATCCACAGGACCAGCTAGCTGAAGAAACACAATCTCCTACTGACCTTTTCCAATGTCAATCTGCGTACTCACAGCTCATGTGCGCAGTCCGACGAAGTAGAACTGAAGAGGACGAAGTCTACGTTGCCGAGTACCCAGTCATAGACTAACGTGCACAGAATATTTCTCGTGCGCGGTGACCACGACATGCTACCTAGGTTGCCAAAGCTCAACCGATTGTCCAAACCCCTTCACGATAAGAAGAAAACACTCTGAAACCATAACATCTGATTCATGAAATCACATGCCGCCGACGATACCGGCACCTTGGCCGTCGCCATGTTCTCAAGCGCGGAGCTTATAAGTTGATGATTTAGCCGAGTCTGGTATGTTTTGGTTTTAGATTGGAGAGTACTTTCCCGTTCATGTTTTATGTAGAAATGGAGGTGTATTGAGTGTCAAGTGAGTGGCATTTGATTCATCTACTGTAAAAACCGGGCTCAGAGTTTCAGTGGTGTCTAAATATGATCAAATAAAGTTGTGAATCTGTTCGGGAAGTAGACCTGAGTTTGAATATGACTGAATCAGTTATGCAACATAGCTACAATTTTTTCAACTTTTGTGGTCAGTTCTAATTTTCCACTGTTTACAAGAACAACGATGAGCCACGATGAGTTTGTGGGTTCTGAAATGTAGAAAGAAATGCTTACCTTACACCGGCCCGTAAGCGTGGTGTTGGGATGGAATTGTATACAGGTGTAGGAACATTTCATTGTTTGAGCACACAACACTGTTGACATAATTTTGAGCGGCGTAATTTCTGGGCCGACAGCATGCCCATCAACTTGTAGCTATCAACTTGTGATATTACAGTCTTTTCATTCTCCTAGTCTAGTACAATTCATCAGAAACAGCAAGTATTGTCATCAAGACAGTCAGAGAGTTAACTATCTTCACATCATCTGAAAGGTAAGGATGGTCATCTTGGCATCAAAATAATGACCAAAGACTTGGCAACACCAGACTTGTTGACACGCCATACCAGATATCGACAGCAATCCTTCACAGTAATCTACGCCAACTACAGTAAGTCAAACTTCCTCCCCAAGGATCGAACAATGTAACTATGTCTTCGGTCTTCGGGTGATTCGGTCACAATGACACTGGCATTGTGGCAAACGAATGCCTTCAGTCAACTTGCAGCCTTGAAGCGGCTCCTCTCTCTGTAAACTCTGGGCGTTCCTTAAACACTTTGAGACGAAATTAAGAGTTACATCAGACCACTGGTGGGTATTCATGAGATAGATCATAACATTCTGCAATAAATTCTCATTTCCCGTCTTATTATCCGCTTCACATCTTCTTCACGGCAAGCTCGCAGCCAACTTATTGCACGACATCTAATGCAGAACTCTTGTATCTCGAACACCGCCTTGCAATAGAGCCATTTCATGCAAGACACTACAAAAAACGACGTGTGGTAGATCATGGTCTTGTTCTGATACGTTTAATTCCCAAACATGTTGATAGCTGCTAACCATGTCGACTAGTTTTCGTTGAAGGCTGGCCATAGGCTCTTAACACGTCTTCTGCACTCCTTTTGGGAAGAGTATACTGGATTCATCTAAACTATCAAACACTTCACAGGTGCAAAATAACTTTTCCACTGGTGTTTATTTGTAGAGATTTGTGCATGCTTAAATAGTAATCCAAGAGAAACAGAAAAGGATTTGACTTGATCCTTCAGGGTACCCTTTCAGAGAACCAGCCACTAAGCTGCGGGGCTTGCCTTAAAGGTTGGTGGTTACAAAATGCAACTCCCAGATCGCAAGTATCCAATTCGTGTATTTAAATTGCCAGCTTCATGGGGTCTCAAAGAACCTTGCATATAAGGTATCAGCAGTAGCTTTCCCGGATCAATACGATATGATAACGATGTAAATATCTCTCAAGCAACCTGATCATTGATGAAAATAAGCAAGTCGGAACACTGATGTCTGCATCCCACCAGCAGAAATGATGTCAATGTGTGATCACGATCAAGAAAGACAAACTTCAGATCTTTTCTTCACCGAAGAACTATTCAATCATCGATTGTTTTTAAAACCTGCAAGAATGTAGTGAACCTCAGATACAGATGAAGCCTTTAATGACGAAATCCAGGTTGAAGTCCTCATGTATCCGCAACTCGCACCTTCGCACAACATGTTGATCCCCACGAATGCTGCAGATGTACAATCACGAGCGGACTTGAGCAATCTGCTACAGCAACTGCTTATCAGCCGTGTTTATTATCTGGAATGACCTGTCTTTTCCTATGTGGTGAGCAGTCAGTGCACAGAACAAGACTGCGACGTGCTCGGCGGATTGGGCATACCATTCCAGCGTTAGTTGTTGATAGGAATAATATTAGACGCGAAAGTAGGAGTTGGCAAATCTTTGGATCAGTGAAGTCATCTTCATATCCCTAATACTGCTCAAACACTACATCTTCGTCTATGATAGGTTCAATACATTCCAGATCCTGCTCAACCAGAACAGACCAGAAAGACTGAGCAGAACAGTGCATTGATCATGGATCAGCAAGGGTACTAGTGATGATTTTTACTTGATCAGAGTTTCATGCGAATCTACTAAACCATAGATTTTAAGGTATCTGAACATTTGAAAGAGCAGGTACATAGTAATCAAAGAGATTAACTGTGCCTTCGACTTTCTTATCCCAAACAAGCTCAGGGCTGGGGTGGAATCTGCTTTTCCGTTGTCATCAGGCGCAACGACTGAATCACAAGAATATCCCACTCAGTTGTGCCCTGCGATATCAAAATCATGATCATTTCCGACAAGAATAATATTCAAGACCATTGACATCATAATTTTTTCGGACTCTGAAACTGTACTTACGAAATTGCAAATGAGCTGTAATCAATTTGGGTGATCGCCTTTACCACGAAGTTCTAATTAAGTCATAGTTTTAGACCAATCACTCTGATAAATATGGAGCAAAGCTATATTAGAGCAGTTTCCCAAGTCATTGATTAGTCGCAGACACTGGTTTACACAGAAATATCCAATTGGATTTGTTGAACTCAAAACTATACATGTGTTATCTGCTCTCAAGACACGCTAACTTGGAGGGTCCTCAGAAGAAATTTTTCCAAAAGCTGTAAGCTACAGTAACATCTCCAGATTCCAGAACAATGTAGACTCGAGTTTTCTGTGGAAATAATGTTAAGATTTGGTCTATAATGACAGTTCTAATGTTTTAATACACACATATACGAAGTGGTCTGAATGGTACCCTGGATTATTCTCCATCGAAAATATTGGTAACGTGCAATTCTGAGAAAATGACCAGGGATCATTGAAATGCTCTTGAATATGACATCATGTCTAACATGGAAAATAATTGGCAAAGTTACTCCTCTGGAAGGAGAGTTCCTAGTTCAGAGCTAAACACTTAGGACAACCTTCAGTCCTTTCCAAAAGGTTTTTCCACGATGTATCTTGTCCATCCTCCTGTTTGACATACAGTGGAAACATTTTCATCTCGATCCAAAAACTTTTATAAAACTAGATTAGATACACGATGTACATTATTTCATGAACTATTGTCTCATCGGAAAATGATATCAGGGTGGAGACACTGGAAGGAGAAATACTTGTAAGCTGGATAGGCCGAGCCTCAACAGACTACCGACCCTTATGGTGTGCTTGAGAAGCTTTAAGTCTGTAGCATCCCAGGCATAAACGTCAATACATGACATTTCCGCTTCATTACTCTGAATGCCAAATAATCACACAAGACTACAATATTACTCTCCTAAATGAACAGATATGATTTTGATGTCAAAAGCACTCAAGGTCACAATTATTATGGGCAGTAATTTTTTTCAAGTCATTGTACGAAGCACTTCAGAAAATTTTAGATAAAAAATCTCTGATGCAACAATGGCCGCCTGTTTTGGAATACTAAATCCAAGCACGGGGCAAACAGCTCGATCTAATCACTGAGAGTCTCAGACCACGAAGAGAAGTGTTTGAAATCCTTCTTCCTGTCGAGTGAGAAAGGTTTGCAGGCAAGAATATTGGCATATACCGTACCTGCTTGTGGAGATTGAAAATGGCTAGAAAGGTTTCTTCATCGTAAGGTCTCCAGATGCAACAGCCACTCTTCGATTGGGATGTTTGGTCCGACGTAGGGTTTTCCTAAAGAGCTGGTGGAGGCTTCTGAGCAGTAATTCCCACTGTGAATGATGGTCATGCCAATTAGTGCTTTTTTCAGACACTGACAAACGTTAATTCATCGCCTGATAACTAAACACAAGCTGCAACCTTCATATCATTCCTGACCCAATGGCTTAACTGAGTATTAAGTAGTGCAAGTCATATTGAGCAAATATCAAGCTAATTCATTTCAACATAAAAAGTTACTGTAATGACTCATAAAGTGGCACTAAGTTGACTAGATGGAGAAATGAGGGTACGCAAAATGACAAGAGTCTTCATTATTTTAGATATTCTCCAGCGTTACTCGCCACTTCGTCAATCCATAAGACCTTCCTGTCTTCATGTATTACAGTATGCAAAACTTACCAAAGATTTCTATTGTCTCTGCTTTCCTAAGTCTACTGACCTCTAGGAATCAAGTACATATCGAATCCTTCGACTGATTGGTTATGAAACAGGATTAGAACTACACCAATGCATACGACTCAGTTTCTAAACCACACAGACCATGCACAGGAAAATCCAGTGCACATCATATCGATCGCATCACACGTCACGAATCTCGCCACCGCTATCCAACCAGCACAAACAGCGAAGTTCAGAATGAAAAAACCCTTAAACCAAAAAACTCCAAAGAATTCAACAAGAAAATGAACACGGCCATGAGAAAATTGGTCGAACAATTCACACCCGGCTCTCTCAACACCGAAACGAAACGAATTCTAAACACCACTTTCGCGCATATTGTGTCTCACACAGGACGTGAGTGCCATAAGCAGCGGAGTCGATGTTCAAATGGAATCACCAACTAATCACCCACTTACAATGCAGTGCTGGAGAAGACGCGGCACCCGGCGACAAGTAATTGTATGTTGTGCACCAATTTCGCAGGCTTTCTACCAGTGCAACAAACTAAAGTCCTCATGTTCCCTTCCCTACGACAATGGCCATGGTGAGGGAAGCCATGCACAGCAAGCCCTGTTTCTCATGTTGCAGAAGATATGAAAAGACCAGTCTCGCACTCCCATAACTCAATCGATAAACCATGCTGATTAGGGAATCGAATTAGTGGGTCAGTAGTGGTGAGATCTGTCACTGATCGCGTGGATGGACGAGTGCTTAGTGTTGCTTTAGGATTAGCGATTGGTAAGTGAAACAGGAAGGGAAGGAGAGAGAACCCACAGCGTCCGAGACCAACGGCCATCCACGAGCCGCCTGCCAGCGACTTCGTAATGTCCACCAAGTTCAGACCCGAACACCTTCGTTGGCTTCAATTGAAACCCATTTCGTTTTTCCAAATCCCACAACCTCGTCACGAAACCCAAGATTCCAGTAATTTCAAGGACTACCCACATACTAAAATTCTTAGAAGATGCATGAAAAAAAATTGCGGTGCTGCCAGGATTTGTTGCAGAAACGGAGTGATTGGTCAGTTAGGTTTCGTATGTTTCTCATCAAGTGAAGGATACTCACAGAAGAAGCGAGACTTCGGATTCGAAACAAGAGTGCCAAGGTTCGATGCGAGGTTTTTCACGGCGTTATGAGAGGCCGTAGCTCCGTTTTATTCGAAAATATGTAAATGGCCTCTGTATCCTCATCGCAGCACTACTTTGTGGCAAGTTTCAGGATTTCTCATTAGATCTTGTTACTACCAACGTATGATGTTTGAGGAAGTTTGCCTCAGGCGTTCAGTCATAGAACCCTGAGGCAAACTGCTCATTTGAGCAGATATGATGTGGGATACAAAGTCGATTCTGATATTGACTTGGGAAATTTCGACTTAAGAAAGGTTTGATTACAAACAGTTATCAAAATGGTTAATAACTATAAATAGTGGCTCTGAGTTTGAGTTAGTGGGTGACATCTGTTTTTGAACTCTCCATATTCCATTCTTTATAAGGGCGAAGTAGGGGAGGTCCCTATAGAGTTGTGTTTGCTATTGGCACGGAAACAGTCAGTTACATCAGCTGGGAAGAGCTAAGAAAACTGGATCTTTTTTGTAAAAGTATCCCATTGAGAGGTGACGCTAGCAGAAATACTCCAATTCTTGAAGTCGAACAAAGGAGGAACCACACAATTGTAGCTCTCACGTTACACATTTATAACCTGCACCAGTTCTGAGAAACAAGCTTTGCTAGATTGACATTCTTGCACTGGTCAAGGATTCCAGTTGCAATGGTGAAAAATAAGCAATTTCGAACTTGGTTAGGTCCTGGTCTACTAAGCATAGAAGTTTTGAGGATTCTAATCTTGCAACAGAGTTTTTCTTCACACCTAAACTATGTTTTACAGTATACGACTGAACCAAATTAGTTCAGTGAGGATTAGGTGAAGGGTAGGTGTATACTACGAAAAAATTGCTTGCTAAATCAAAATGTTTCACAGCAACTACGCATCTAGAGTTGGAACTTAGCCAAAGTGAATACAGCATGTCAAAGGCTAAAATTCTTAGCACAAAAACCTCAACTACTTGTCAATTTAACAGATCGATATATCTCCAACTACATTGAGAATCACAAATTGCGCATCATGGCAACGAGTACCAACAACTGGGCTATTACTCTTTGGAATTCACATCCATAACAAAGCAAGCCAGATTCATATGATACAAAGGCTAAAGAAGGTTCATTTACCTCAATCCTTGAGCTTAGTGTTGGAACTCAACGACCGCTTCCATTCTCACCGCTTTGCAGTGACGAGAGAGCAGCCTGCGCTTTTTCCCATGCCTCACTGGTTGTGGGACAGGACGGCTGCCTTACTAGAGTGCTCTGGTATGATAAGTGGTACTGCACTGATGTTTGAGGAATAGGTGATGGTCGAAAGCTATCACCATAACCACTACCAGTTGGTGACAACTGTGATGGATCGGGAGGGGAAAACCCAGCAATAGTACTTACAGTCAAACTGGGACGTCTGGTTAAAGGAGTGTATTGTTCAGTCATACCGGGCACTCCAACAAATGACCGTGTATCCTCTGGATGATAAACGCTTGATTCAAAGTTAAGTTCCCAATCATCTTCCTCTTTCTTGGTGGTTGGAATTGCAATAGGAGGACTTGGGGCACTTACTGGATGAGGACTACTAGAGTGCTCGGGATAATGGTACGTATTTCTGTCTTCCCACGACCTCTGGAATTGCCTATCGTCACGTATTCTCGGAGGATTCATTCCATTGTAGTGCACAGACGGTGGGGTATGAGTAAAAGGATGATGTTGTGCAGGATATGCAAAAGAACGTTGGTGGTGGTTATTAAAGGGCATTTGGCTGGGAGGAGAATATGTCACGGATGGACTTCTCCACGTTCGCTCAGGAGGAGAGTTGCTGGACGGAGTACGTGTTCCAGAGAAGTCAGGGATTCTATCGGCTTGAGAAGTAGCATCTGGACTAAATGCAATGTACAACTCCTCCACGCAGGAAGAGTCTACATCATCAACGATTTCACCTTCTTCGTTATCATCAGTATTTGGTAGCTTATTTGTTTTCTCCTCCTTCTTGTCGGGGCCAAAAGTCGCTCTGGATAAATCTTTGCCTGTATAGTTAACCCAGTTTTTGTCAATTAACCAAGACAAATTCTCAAATTTCCACGGACTGAATTAGAAAAGAGGAAATAGGCAAGAAAAATAACATTATCTATGAAGAAAACAGCGCAATATGATGAACCTTCTGACAGAGCCTAAAACAAAGTGGTGTGGTGTCAGTGCAGGTATTAAGTTATTGCTTGGAAAAAAATCATTGTAATCAAACTTAGAATTAAATTGTACAAGAGTACAGGAAGAGGCATACTGGTATCGCTAGAAAGATGACCATGCTCGCCGGTTTTATAGAGCTGTTTAGGTGTTCGATCAGGTTCCTGATTCAGAACACGATCCTTACAATTAGCATTGACATTATATACCTTCGCTGCTATTTCAAAACAGAATATTTTCCCTCTGAAATCACTTTCATCACATGCAAAATGTAAAAACATAATACCCATTAACCAATGGCTTCTAACCATTCATCTCTAGTGTCTATCACAAAGAAAACTTTGATTGCACAGACCTCAATGCTGGGATGTGCCTCATAATATCTGGACGCAGTTCGGGGTCCAGAAGAAAAAATTTTCTTGGAAGCATGATTTGACCGAGCGGAGTTGATAGCTTCGTAATTCCAAGGCCTCTTACAATCTCTGAGTGCATGACTGTAAGACCCGCAATTGAAACACCTTGCTTCCTCACGCTCTAACTGTACGCATCTGTATGGATCAACATAGAGTCTCAGAAAAAGAATAAACTAGGTACTTAAGAAGATACAACATTCTTTGAAAGCAAGTGTTCCGCACGCAGTACTGCAGTTGATGTCAGTCTCACCCATCTTTGCGTGGTTCTTGAGAAGACAGTGAGGAAATGACCCGATCGTAGAGGGGAACATCAGCTTCACCTTCTCTAAGATCTGGAAGGTTTGGGCCAACCAACCCTGAGTTGTCACCCGGCTCTTTACTGCGTGCATGCTTTAAAGGCTTATCAACCCAAAAGGACTGCCAAAAAAAAAGGAAAAAAACAGAAAACGGTCAGAAACTTTTGGGTGGATAATGTACAAGAGAAAGTAGGTTTACTACTCTCCTAACATTCCAAGATTGTGAGCAAGACAAAGGGTGCTTACCACACTAAAAGAACTCCCAGCTGGGCCGACCTGCAAAGCTGGATAGTATTCCTCTTTGCCACTCTCTACAAGATTTTCCATTGACTGCAATAAGTTTCGTGACATGCAGGTTAGACTTCGAAAAGTCGATCGACTATTATGACGCGCTATCTTAAACTGCGACTTAGTTCCACTACACGGCTATCCTTGAATAATATCTACCGTAGACCTAGCGACCCACAGCACCATATAATGCGGCAGAAAAACCCTATCATGAACCCAATAGTCTCATAAACCAACCAAAACCAAACAGACAAGGTATAAGCAAGATGAATCGGTCCAGAACCTCTGAGGAAGAATGACGACTGTGGTATCCCTGCCACAAAGACCAATCTCGCAAAAGTTCTTGAAGTTTTTTTCGACTTGCTCTGAAAGCAGACAGACGTCCAATAAAAATTTTGCAACACCAAAACCAACATCAGTATACCCGACGAGACGGAAACGACAACTCAAGAAGACCAATCGTGCTTTAAAAACAAATATTGATTTAGGCTTTGCCAGACGATTCGAAAACTCATTGAAGTTTTCCGTCGATTTCGAAGTATGGAATGGTACAAGTCACTGTAGATCCCTTACTTGGAAAGGTGGTGATATTCGACACGTACTGATGGAGTTATTTCCACTGGTGCTGACCATTTTCGCTTGCGACTGAATTGAGTTTCTATAGAAAGGTCAGGGAATTCTTCTTCACATCACGTTCATTAGCATCGTATTGCACGAACTGGTCATGACGCTAACGTTAACACTATACAAGGTGGAAACTCCAACTCAGTGACCTAAACATGTCATGTCTTTCTCCTTCCATCAGAAGTTCCGAAGTGTGAGAATGGGTTCTGCTGCATTTTTGAGCATTGAACATGGTAATAGGAGGGGGTACACAACTGGCATGCGCATGATGCCAGTGATTGCTACGACCTCCAGAAAATGAGCTGGAAAAAACTAGTTTTCGTACTCAACACCACCTGCGTAACCGCTAATCTCACAACGATGACCTACCAGACACCAAAAACACAAGCCTTGCTTACAAAAATACACATATCGACCAAATGAGGATACTGCTTGTGATTGATGGGTCTCCAGGATAGCCATGCTTAATCCCTTCGTCATCAACTACCTGTTCCGCCACCACACGCCCCTTACAACTCTCCTGCTCGTCGTCCGAAATTTCCATATCAATTTCTACCTCAGCATCAACACTCTCCATTGCTTCTGAAGTGATTTTGCACTCGCTATAAGTTCATACCGTCCAAGTAGACGACTTTAGAGAGAACCACGCTTCTTCTCCACTGCCAAAACGCCGACTTCACCAAAATCCCCTCAAAGACGCACTTCACCACCTACGCAAGCAAACTGAACTTCTCATGCTCAAAACCATCTACTAAAAAACAAAACCCTAAAAACCCACTAAATACAACATACCCTAAATCCTTGCACAAAAAGCTCACCCTCTCTAACCCGCACTACCAAGCACTAGTAACGCACTTGCGGAAGCTCAATACCAACACCGTTTCCACAAAAACAGGTATAACCAAAGGGGAAAAAATTGCAGAAGGACAGAAAAAAAGGCAAACACGCACTCTAACAACACTCTGGCTCGATCGCTCAAACGGACCGCACAAAATCTCCGGCTTCCCGAATTCAAAAACAAAGAGAGAAACGGGAAAAGTAGAGAGATAGTTTTTAAAGCAATGACAGAGACAAGATGGTGACTAACGAGGGTCCTCAAAGCAGCGATGCGTGGCATGGAATAGTAAGAATGGAGTAAGGGAGGTTCCTGAAGACAGGCCCACGGCGCGGATCCAAGGGAGCTGGGCCGAGGCAAAGAGAGAGACAGAGAGATTAAAGGGCGCTCAGTGGACAAGCTTGCACTAAAGCTGCAGTAGAATAGAATAGAACGCGACAACCGTAAGTTTCTTCCCGCGTTCCCTTGCGGCCGGGTTTCGGTGTCCCCCCTTCCTTTGTCAATCGATTCTCCCCCAGCCCGTCCTTCGGTGGACCCGTGACGTGGCAAGCTGACAACTGCCTTGACCTGGGTTTACATGCTTGTAGGGTGTAATTCCCATTAGTTGAAGGATAATAATGTTTATCAGTGTTCTATGATTTATAATCTGATTCTTGTGCATGACTTGTAATTGTGTGATTGTTTGTGGGTTGTGGATAAATGTTATGGCAGATTTGTTTCTGTGGTTTAGTCTTGGTGATTTTGTACACTGATGATGTGAATACCTTGGAACTTTTTGTGCGAAAAAATCAGGAATAGTTAGTGCTAAAAACGAGGAGACAACAAGATTCGTTTATAAATAGTGAGTTTTTTTGAAAAGAGTAAAAAAAAGAGAGAAAAGAAACGAAAGATTAGGAAATGAAGCAAGGTGATGTTGTTGAAGCGAAGATGCCAAAATCTATAAGCAGGATAATAACTCTGATTGTTGCACTTTAGCAACTAGTTTTGAGTATCGGTTGATGATTTCTGAAATGGTGTAAATGTAAACACAATCATAACTTGTAAAAGTGTGATTGATTGCCTGAAGTTATTGGTTTTTAATCCACATCAACATTTTAAATTAGCTACGTTTTTTTTCGTATGAGACCATGATGGATTCTGACTGCACACAAGCTTTGTGTATCACATGCATAATATGTTTAACAGCAATGTCAAAAATCACTATTTTTCAACTTCAATTTTTGTAACATATACGTGCAATGCTTAATAAATATGTACCGATTTAGTTTAGTTTTTTTTTTTTGTATTTTGTAAGTATATCTTAACTTACAACTGAATGCATGCTAAGTTCTCTACATCGAAAGCAAATCCGTTGCATTAAATTCCTTTTGTTTTGTTCCAATCTTGTGAGAAATTTATTAGTGTCGGGGATGGACAAAAATACCCACACTTTAGAGCAAATGTGCAGGATCATTGTAAGGCATATAACTTAGAAATACTAAGAGTACCAGTAACTATAGCTCCGTCTTCGTCTGCGCACTTCTTATGGATAAGTATAACGAGATTAGAGGATGTGAGACTTTAGGATTTGAAAACCAAGGAGAAGCCAGTCCTATTTTGAATATCATCACAAGGGCATAATCAATTGCAATAGTAATCAATCCAACTGGGAAAAATCTACGCCTAGACTTGTCACATAACAGAAGGGATTTTGATTTGAACAGGTACTAAATACACAGAAATCACTAGGTTAAATGAAATATCTCGATCATATGTGACGGAACAAGACCTTAAATCCTTACTGCTTTCACTTCCTGTCTCATAACCAGGGCCTCTTATTTATATCCCCCCAGCACACGATTTGCAGCACGTTGACGATCCAAGCTCCAACATGCCAGCGTTGCATTCCTTCATGGCTCGAGTGGGTGAGCTAAATGATACCGAAACCACGGCAGAACCCTAAACTTAGTCCAGCACATCACTCATTGATCGCTGCACTCTCCAGTTCAAGTTCAGGACTTAGGATCGATCGTCACCAGCCTACCTGACGATATACTGGTACTGAGCATCTTCCCGAATGAAGAAAGAGTACACAGAGCAGGTGATGAGAGGCACTCCGACTAGAATGCTTAAGAAGAGAAGATGCCAGAACCCAGAGGGAATGAACCAAACAAACACCATGCCCACAAGCCCAGCCAGCATGAAGAGCTTCGTGGCCAGGCAATGCACCTCCTCCCACACGTGCGCGCTTTGCAGGGTCCAGGGGTCCCGGATGCCCACCACATGATTCTGCTCGATGTAATTGAATGCTCCTCCCAGCGTGACCAAGAAAAGGCTCATGAGGAAAACAATGGGAGTGGTGCCCAAGGTGTGATCTGTGAAGGCAGCCCACAGTACAATGACCTGGAGCACTGGAGAGAATAAGCTCGGAGACATGACGATCATGCTCAGGGCAGATTGGGAGGATGAGTCCAAATTCTCGCAGAGTGGGTCGCACTTGACAACAAGCGCTAGCATGAGAGTTAAGACGATTCCTATGATGGGGATGAGTATGATGCCGAACTCTCTTGGAATAGCAATACTGCCCCAGAAATGAATTTGGTCCGGTAGCCAAAACCAGCATCCGAGTCCTGCCGCCAGGCTGACCAAACTTGTTGCCCCAGCGACTTGGATGGCACTCCCCGAGATATTGTCCATGTCATCCATACCGAGCTCTGAAGTTTACAGCTAGGGGTGCGAAATCAAAGAGGCTTGTTCTGGCCTGTATCAGTTGGAGAACACTGCAATGAGAGAAAGCAACGATTTCATACTCTATCTTACTATACTTGATTCTAATTCTCTCAATCATATAATAACTTTCTTTCTAGGGGCAAATTCTATCTCCAGAATCTTCATTTCATGTCCTATGTAAGACGAAATAGTGATCCAATTGAGGTCAAATTCGACTACTTAATCATTCATAAATTTCACGCTTGGAATACTTTTCTGACATCCATACAGCTCGTTACCATCATGTGCACCCATTGAAATCAAATACGATATAAAACACTGCTGACTCTGGAGGGAACTCAAGAATCCGCCTCACAACCATGTTGCATGAAGACTGCATCATGCCTCAATCTTGCACATTTACGTCGCATCGGGCTGAGTAACATCAGACCTAAATTGTAAAATTACAAATTCCGACAGAGTATACAGCCCCAAACAAACGCTTTCAATGCACACGCAAAGCCCGTCCCTAAATTCCACCTCCGCTTCCTCACCTTGTCCCACCAAAGACTAACAAAGAGTTACAGACACCCACAAACGTAGTGTAATAGATGGAAACGGAGGAACCGCAAACATGCTCCTCTAACACCTATTTCCAAAGTAGACTTAGAACATCAGAATCAAAAAATTTATACACTCAAATCACAAACAGCTTCCATCATCGAAGCTCCAGAAACGTCTAAATGGCTTAAATTTCCAATCACATGTCAAACAAACAGACGCAGGAAGAAGAAAATGAAGAAAGTGGGGAGTAACACACACCTCCAGCAGGAAAAATGGAACTAAAAAGAAGAAAAATAAATAGATTCCGCTGTAGGGTAAATTCGAAAACACGTTGAAGGACCCTTCCGGGGAACTGCGGAGACGTCCACTGCGAATCCGAAAGAGATTGAAGCATCAGAAGCACGAGAATGCGCAAAACCCGATTCCGAGAGGGGGGGGGGGGGAGGCAGAGAGCGAAGCCTACGTAAGGGTAAGGAGAAGCAGACTGTGTGCAATGATGATGTGGCGGTCTGACGTGTATATTTGCTGAGCTGGAATGATCGGAGGTGGGCTCTTTTGACCCAAAAATTGTGCTCTCACCAAACCACTGCATTTCGGAGCGAGAGACTGCCGTTGCCACGTCAGATTACATGACGTTGTCCCAACTATCATTCGATTCCTTATCCTTTGGTTTTTGGACAAGAGTGCTATGAGCATGTCTATCAAATAAGCTCCATGAGCTTGTCTATCACATAAGCTCCATGAGCTTGTCTAGAAAGGATAAATAACAAATCTCTTAAAAATATGTATATGAATGGTTTCTCAGTTTGATGTTTAGAACAAGAAAATTTGACGAATTTGTAGAAATTTTTATTATTTAAAAAGATCTCAAAAAATAAATTGCTTTAATTTTAATAGATATATGTATGAAAATATTATATTTTCACCCACAAATAATTATGATAGGATACAAAGACAATGGATTAGAAGATTAAAAAATACAAGATATTATATTAAAAATTAGATTTAATATAAGTCTTAAAACATGACAACAAAAAAATTGTTCTATGATTAGTATTTATAAGATTAAGACATTTTTCTTTTGAGTTATCTTCTTAATTATACAATTGCAACTACGTTTTATAAAATGCATGGAATACCTTAAAAATTTAAAAAGTCTTCTATAAATTCATCTAAAAACCTAAAGTACATTTCATATTGCTATAGAAGATTATCAAAGCTTCTTTAATACTATTTAAGATTTTAGAACTATATTTTTTACATACTCTTATCATTATTCCCTACAAAGGCAGTTAATAGATCCTTTTAGCCATTGATAGTATCCCATACCAGTACAAGAAGACTATCTTGATATTTGATCATTGTTGAGGCTTTTATAATTTTCTTAAAAAAAAACATGAGGGGTGGTTTCTACCTCCAATAATATTACCAAATATCAAAAGTGTCTTTAAAGATTGTGGTACCAAACATGTTGTATTTTGCCATCTATGTGAAGCAAAACATGTTGTTTTTAAAGGTCTTTATTTCTATTATGTTGTCTTGAAAGCTAAGACAATTGCACTATTTCATTTGGTAACTTTATAAATAATAACTCTTGAATTAAATTTGTTGATTTTTGATTTTTGATGTTCTTAGTACCACAAATATAAAAAAACCATAATTAAAGATAAAATATAAAATACAATTTTCATTTGTAAATGATCAATGAAAATAAGGTGTAATCAATATGCAACTTGTTTATCTATTTACAAATAAGAAATGGTCTAAGTTTATAATGTCATGTTATATAAAAACTATCTTAAAAATACATTTGGCATCTAATTGTGGAAGAATTTGAAGTTTGATTTACAACCAAAAATAATACTTAAGATATTTAGAAACACTATTTGGCATCTTTGAATAATTCAAGTAAGCTTTCAATTATCTTAAGTACATCCTATCAACTTTAGATTTTTTTTATACAAATCTCATTATATTTTAATTGATTTAAAAATAATTCTTAAATAATCTTTAATATACTTTAAATGAATACTAATTAAGTTTTAATCAAATTTTTTATCAAATTTTAATATTGATTTGGTTACAATATGCTTGAATTCTAATAACCTTCCAATGAATTATATAATTAAGTTCAAACTTTTGACACACATTAATATCAACTATGACCATATAATCAAAAAAACATTATATGGGGATCACCTACCAATCTTACAAAATTCTCTAAAGTATAAATCTTTTATACTTCTCAAAAAAATCAATGTCAATTTTAATATTTTTGATTGTATGAAATCTTTACAAAGTCATTACAAACTCAAATCACTCAAAATCACTGCGTAAAATATCTTAATTTAGTCTATTCTTAAATCTTATTATTTAATCAACAAAAGAATTTCAATTCTAGATCATAATTGGTCATCTTTGAGTATCAATTCTTGATTTCTTAAGATAATTTTTGCTACAAAATATTTTTATGTCTTTTCTAAATATATACCTATATTAATTATTTTTCTCATCTATTTTTTTTTCCTCAATTATGGCCATACAAAATAAATTAAAGTCTATTTTGTAAAGAGGCAGCATTAATACTTACTAATTTTATTACCTCTTTGACTAATATCTATACTTCTAAGATAATTTACTATACTATTTGTAATTAAATTCTTCTATAATATATTCTTAATTTTTTTTACTTAATATTTATATTATAATATAATAATAATAATAATAATAATAATAATAATAATACAACTTGTCACATAGGCGGCTAATCTTCATATTACAATAATATAATCGTATGTTGTTGCTAACAAGGACTTAATGTTATTTCTTGTGATATACATTAGAGTTATTTAATTTTTTTTAAATATTTTTTAAATTATTCCTTTAGTATTGCAAGTAGCTCTAATGAATTATCTGTCAAATTTTCTATCTCAAAATTATCAACTTATGAGAAGTAAAAAATATCAAGTTGTGGATAATAACCATAATTAGCAAAAAAATGTTTGTTGAATAGAAGAATGTATTGTATTATTATAAGAAAATTTTATCATTAGTAAAAGAGTTATCTAATCATCTTGATGATATTTGATGGTATATTATAAATATTGCACTAAAATTTGATCATCATGTTTTTTTTATTCATCAATATGAAGATAAAAAATAAAAGATAATTTTATATCTACCTTCAAAATCTTCAAAATAATTTTCCAAAACCTTGATAAAAATTAAATTCTTCTATCAAATATAATATTCTTTGATAATCTATGATAGCATTAAATAATGTCAAAGAAAAATTTAGTAATTTCTTCAAATATGATAGATTTTGTATATGCTATAAAATATGTTATCTTGGTGAAACAATCTAATATCACAAACATAAAGCCATATAAACTTGAGATTAAAAGATCCATGATAAAATCCATGGAAACAAAAGACCGTAGTTGTATTGATATAAGTAGTGGTTATAGAAGTCAATAATGTTGATGAAAAGGAATTTTAGATCTTGAAAAAATATTACATGATTGTACAAAGTCTTTGATTACTTTTCATATTTGAGGTCACTAAAAATCTCTTCAAATTAATTCTAATGTCTTGTGTGTCCAAAATGACAAGCAATTAGAAAGTTGTAACAAACTTGAAGAGCTTATAATTGTGCTTCAGCTTTATAAATATATAAAAGATTTTTAAAATAGAGTATATTATTCTTAAATTCAAATTTAAAAATATGAAAAAATTTAAAATAATTAAATTTAATTTTACAAATAAAAAAATTAAAATATATATTTTATTCAACTTGACTAAAAAAATCTATAAATTATTTGATTTCATTGATTAAAATTAAAATTTCTTTATTCATAAGAAAAATATTCATTATAATTCAAAAATTTCATCTCTTTTATTTGGTATAAGATAAAAATATCTAAGAAATATTTTTGATATTTTTTATTTTATTTTTTATATATGTGATTTTAAATTAAAATCTTGACAAAGATATGTTCCAATAGCTTATCAAAAATTTAAAATATGTGTTGATATGAAATACTAGAGGTTCTTATGATCCATTTTAATAGTCATTAGGATTGAGGTGTCTTCTGAATAATAGTTCTATTTTTAATATAAATTCACAATTGCAAGAAATTTTATATCATAGATCTTGTAGTTGATCTTGGTTCTAAAACATTTTAATGAATAAAAAGCTACATAACAAAGTTTTTAATTTACTTCAATTTGTAACAATGCTACATCTAAAGGAAATTTTAATGCATCTATTTTTATAAAAAATACCTAAGAGAAGTTGATGTAATACAAGATTGGTGCAAAAATTAAAATTTGTCTTTAAAGCTTCAAATGCTTAATAAAATTCTTTATTCCACTCAAGTTTTGTCTTTAGAAATCAAATGTGTAAGTTAACTTGCAATTTGAAAACATTCTTAGTAAAAATCAAATAGTAATTGAAAAATTCTAAAAAATATTAGAAATATCTTATTATTCTTGAAATCTCTCATATATATATATATATATATATATATATATATATTCTAATAAATATCTACATGAATAGATAAAAGTAAATAGAAATAGATTAATTTCATAATACTAAATCATGAATTAAAACATTTCGAATGTCATATAAAATTCTTGGCCATGTTCTTATGAATATACTTATTCACTTTAACAAACTCATTTTGTGATAAATTATATATTGGTTCAAATGGTAGTTGAACTCCCTTTTAAAATTCAATGAAACAATCATAAGGACAATGTTCTTGCATGATATTTACATTTGTTGATTCAAAAACATCTTGATGATTTTAAAATCAATTCAAAATACTACTTTAAGTATTTTTACTATTGAAAATAGATATGATATAAATAATATAAGATAATAAACCTTTTATAAGATGCAAAAAAATACTTATATCTATAAATAAGAATTTGGTGATATTAGACTTATGATTTTTTACTTAATTAATAAAAAAATTAAATATATTTAAAAAATATTTAAGATTATAAGAAATCTAATCTATTTAAAGATTATATTTATTTAGCCATAATAAATCTAAAATAATACCTTTTAGAGAAGCTTTATAGATGCTACTTTGACTTTATATGCATTTGTAGTTGATTGGTAGGTTAGAAACTTGGTCAATAAGTTAACCATGTATTAATAGCTTACAGAATAAGTTAATTATGTGGCGCACATTTAAAAAACTTGACTTATAAATTAAGATACATGTCTTGCAAAT